TATATATATATATATATATATATATGTGTATATAAATAGGCCAGTCGCAATAAACAATAAATCAATTAATCACATGATAAATGAAAATTATCGACCTCATTTTCATTTATCGGCTTTATCGTTTCTTCATGTCTCTCTTTCTACTGAAGACACTGGATGACAAAAGGCTCAACTTCGGTGCTCTTCACTGACCCCTCCTTTTCTCCTTTCTCTTTAAAATCTATTTGAACCGTCCAAAATTGCGGTTTTGGATCATTAAAAGCAGCTAAGCTGAGAAGCTAAGCTACAAGCTAAGCTAACAGGCCGACCGCGGGGAAAAAACCTCCGTCTTGTCGAAGCTCCAAAATTCACGATTGAAACTCGTGCCTTCGTGTAAAAGTTGTTTTTCTCTGCAAAAAGAAGCTGAGAACTTGTTTACTGTTTTTTTTTTTTAATTAAAAGCTTTGTGTGAAAAATGCTTTGCTAAAGAGCTCAAACCACACCGAGCGTCTGCCATTTTGAGAACTGAAAAACAGGAACGAGAGACAACGCATGTCACGTCAAGGGGCCTCCCTCCCATTTTTCTTAAGAGACACGCTGCTCGCTCCTTCACTATCCATCCTTCAGTTAAAACATTCTTATACTGCCATCCGGTGGTTGAAAAAAAGGTACTACATGCAAAACAAATCAACATTTCTTCTTAAATTTGAGAATAATTACTAATTATTGTCAAATTACAAACAATATTATCGTTTATCGCAATAATTTCTGAGCCAATTAATCGCCCAGCACAATTTGTTATCGTGACAGGCTTATATATAAATACTAAAACAAACTACTACTTACTACTTGTACTACTATTCCTACTTGGCGGTTTTTAATTTATCGCGGGGCTTCAGGGTACGGATCCCCCGCGATAAACGAGGAACTACTGTACAAATATTTTCTATCTCTAAATCTGACAGTAGGTTGTTTTGTTGTTAATTGACGGGAGCAGCAGAATGTGTTTGTTTTGAGGAGCTGTGACGAAGGATACGAGGAACACAAACCACCAGGAACGTAAACACCAAAGTTGCTACTCTCTAGCAGGAACAGTCGCCGCCTCTTTGACCCGCTCTGCTTTTAGGGATTTTGGCCGTGACAGGGGTCACGCTCCGAGGCGTCAGGATATGAGATCCCAGAAATGTTTGTAGAGTAACCAAACCCCGCCGCCGCTGTCACACCAAGCAAGGAGCGGGCCTTCAGCACTAACGGTAAACAGGCTTAAAGGCTCAAATGCTTTACTTACGAAACAAACAGTAAACAAAGACGTTAAACCGTCACGGTGTCAGAAAATATAATAACACCTCAGAGGTTACTCCTGGACGGGTCAGGTGCAAAGTAAAGAGCAGCGGCGTTAGAATGTTTGGGGAGGAAGCATCACAAGGAAAACACAACATGGAGGGTCACGAGGCTGAAGCTCTTACCTGTCTTTAGACCCCTTCCCATCAACCCTCTTTATAGTGACTCTTACACTCCTACGGCCGGTTAGCAGAAACAGAAGAGGGTGAGGAAGTTGATGAGTGAGGAGCTGCAGCTTCTCCTTACAGCCTCGTTAGAAACTATACGACATCACCAAGCAAGCGGTGAAAAACCGCTCAGATGGGTCTTTACCGTAATTATTATCAAAATATCTCATGAACCACTGGGGAAATTTAAAAGAAACTAGTATCAATATATAATCATTGGCTGTACCTCTACAACTAGTTCACTTTTAGAGCCAATCCAATCCAAGATGGCCACCACAGCCAACACAAAAATGGCTCAGAGTCAGTCGAGTTTAAACACAGCGAGCTAAAATTAGGTGTGACAGTAGCTGAGAGTCATCCACAGTGAATAGTCTGAGCAACAACTTACTGCGTGAGATCTTTGCTTAGAAATGGAGCAAGAACTGTTGAAAGTCAACCCTGTTTGTCTGTTAGCAAAATATCTCCTGAACCGGTAGACGGAATTTAACAAAACTCTCAGCTATCTTACGCTGGACGTGCACCTACAGCTGATTTACTTTTGAAGTTGACCTGATTCAAGATGGCCGTCACAGACAACGCAAAAATGGCTAGAACGCTGTCGATTTAGCAGAAATTGAGCTAAACTTTAGCGTGGTAGTAGCCGAGAGTCTTTCACAACGCATATTCTGAGCACTAGCCCACTTCTTACCCTTCTTTGAGCATGATCGGCGTTTCGATGCTCCGCTGATCCCACTTTCCAGAGGTGGAGATCAGGTCCAGGAACTGAGGAGGAAAGGTTTCATTTAGGAAGTTTATGCACTGAAATCCTTCCTCCGTGTCGACACTTTCAAACAGTCGCTCAACAACAAAAAAAATCATTTAGTTTATCTTTGAACATCGGACATAGAAGCGCGAAACAAAGGACTGACTCACGTTCTTCACGGCGTCCGCGTACTTCTGCTCGTTGAAGTGGTCGTAAAACGCAGCCATGTAGGACTCTTTGAAGTTGGCCTGAAGAATGAAACAGAATTAAAAAGCAAATTAAAAACTCGTCTTGGCGACGGAGACGTAGTCGCACGAACGAGCGGAGGGACGCACAGATTTGGACTTGGCGAGGCTTCCGAGGGTCTGGATCGTCTTGGAGATGAGGGTGAGGGTCCGTGAGGTGGCGGGGTCCTACACAGGCAGAAAAACATGAACTTATTTGTTGAAGAGCAAACACAAACAAAGTCTTTGCGTTGAATCTGGAACTGACGGGGTGGTGGGGCCGCAGGTGGAACAGGTTCGGGGACAGGATGGCCGGAGCGAAGAACCGCAGGAAGATGAAGCTGCTCACGGCCGTGTATCGGACATCTTGGTCAACTGGAGAGCAGAGAAAAACAAAAACAGGGATTTTATTTTTCCACTCCCTCTCACCTGCATAGAGAACATCCAGTCTACCGTCGGTGTGCCGTGACCCACGTAATGCTTTGTTTAGCAAAAAACACCAACTGTTTCCAGTAAAGTTAGCTCACCTGTTGCACAAGAAACATCTTATTTAGCCCGTTACTTAAATAAAAACACAAACATCTAATTCATTTCAAGCTTGCAGCAGTTTTAGAGGTAAGTTGTATTTAGAAGTACAGCAGTCCCTCGCTATTTCACGGTTCGTTTACTGCGGACTCGCTCTATCGCAGTTTTTCAAAATAAGATTGGACATGACAAAATTGGCTGATTGATGGAAGAGCCGCATGATCGGCATGGAATTTTTATTTTAAAACCATCCATCCATCCATTATCTTTACCCGCTTATTCCATTTTGGGTCACGGGGGTCGCTGGTGCCCATGTCCAGCAATCACTGTGCGAGGGGCGGGGTACACCCTGGACAGGTCGCAAGTCCATCACAGGGACACATAGAGACAAACGACACAAACAACCATTCACTCTCTCACTCACACCTAAGGACAATTTAGAGTTACCAATCAGCCTAACATGCATGTTTTTGGTCTGTGGGAGGAAACCGGAGCACCCGGAGAAAACCCACACATGCACGGAGAGAACATGCAAACTCCACCCAGAAAGGCCCCTGGACCGGGGTTTGAACCAGGGACCTGCTCGCTGAGAGGCAGCAGCTCTACCAGTTGCGCCACCGTGCTGCCTTTATTTTAAAACAAATTATTTTAAATTATTTAGCACCTACTGCACCTTTGTGCAGCCCTTACTGCAGAATAAACTTCCTGCTGCAACTGATCAGCTGTTCTCCGTGCAGAGTTGAGAAGTGGGCGTGGCCAAGAACGCTTGCAGACGAGGTAGGTATACGAGGTATATATATATATATATATATATATATATATATATATATATATATATACATTCAAACTTTATTTAGACAGGTTAATCATATAAATACTAAAATAAACTACTATTTACTACTTGCACTACTATTCCTACTTTGTGGTTTTTCACTTATCGCGGGTCTTCAGGGTACGGTTCCCCCGTGATAAACGAGGGATTACTGTATTCTGTATGTTGTAGCATTCCATAACTTTAATTGTCCAAAGTGGAGAAATTTGACTTTTATGGTGTGAATGCTGCATCAGCATAAATATTATCATTCTCTTGTTTACAGTTTTGTTATATTCCTTGCAATTTAACTACGTCTGCATATTTTTAGCCATTACGTAAATCAAAACGTTCAGCTCAATCAAGTATATCGGCTGTGACTTTTAGTTTTAGTTATTTTTTCTACTTTTAGACATAATTCACTTTATAAAAGGTAAAATTCCCAATTTAAAAACATGGTGATCTCTTCAAAAACATTGTTCTCTATAAAATTTGCTGCAGCTGCTGGTTCTATTTTTGTATACTAATATTAGCTACAGTTCTGCTTATGATTCTACGACGTCTTAGCTTTTAGCTACTATCTCACCATTCTGTTTCTTTTAGATTTAGCAACTAATGCTAAAGTAGCTAACTTTAGCTACTTGTTTGTTATTATTGGTATTTGTTTTATTAATTTTTGTTACTGTTTTGCTAATTATAGCTTTAGCAACAGTTTAGCTTCTTTGAAATAAATTTCATTTTAGCTTTTAGCTGTTATTTTGCTATTTTTAATACCTTTTACTTACCATTCTACTATTGTGTTCCTTTTAGATCATAGCTAGAGTTTTACTAATTTTAGCTATTGTTTTGATGATTTTAGCTTTAGTATTTGTTTTGATAATTTAGTGACAGCTTAGCTAATACTAGCATCTGTCTTGCTAATTATAGCTACTTTTAACTTTAGCTACTGTTTTCCCAACTACAAACATTTCTAACTAATAGCTTTATTACTCTGATAACATGTATTTAATTACTTTTAGTAACTGATTGATAATTTTAGCTTTTACATCTATTTTGATGTTTTGATGCTCATGCTTTGTTACTTTTAGCTTTAGTCTCTTTGGCTAGTTTTTGGTATAGTTTAGCAAATATTTCACATCTATTTAGCTGATTTTACGATCTGCTTTGATATTTAATCTTTAGTATCTGTTAGCTGTTGTTACACCGTATTGTTTTACATTATTAGTGTTTAGCGTGTATCTGGATCTTTTAGTGAACCATTTGGCGTTTGTTTAGTGTATATCTTAGCATATATCAGATCCTTCTATACTGTTTCTTTTTATACTTCATATTTAGCTATTTTTGGGTGTAACTGGAACCCTGTGTACACAATCTTGTTCCACCTCATGTACCACATACTGTATGTGGTGGAAACAACAACAAAGCTGACTTGAACTTTAGCCTAAATTTAGCTAATCAGCTCTTGTTTAGCTAATTTTAGCTCATTTATCTGTTTTGTTATGTTTAATTACTGTTTTAAGCGTCTGTTTTGCTAACTTCAGTTTAAGCATGTTTTTCTTGTTTTATCTTAGCTGAGTTTCAGCTTCTTCAGTGGTTGTGAGTAAAAACCATCAGTTCAATTCAGTTTACTTCTTTAGCGCCAATTTGCACAAAATAATATTTCTATACAAAAAAAAATAATAAATCAAGTCCAAATCATAAATACAATTCAGATCCCATTAGTCCATTTACAGTACTCATATTTTAATACAACTCTCACACTGGAAAGTTTTTTCTTTGGATGTGGTTGGGATACTGTCAGACGACCAACAGGGGGCGCTATCAACCAAAACTTTATTCTCCAGAGCAGAGATTTGTCAAGTCTTCTGGCGGGGTTTGAAGGGTTTAAAGACCAAAATCGAAACACAAAAGTCATCATGTTGTCCACAGAAAATAGATTTAAGTTTCCTTGGATGATTTATGCTTCTTGTTCTCAACTTTTCCTCATTTTCTGTCACTTAATCTTAAGTTTGCTGCGCCTCCTGTGAGCGTTACCTTGGAAACGGGTGGAGGCGGACTCCCGCAGAGAGAAGAAGATGTCGCACATGACGGTGGGACAGCGAACTCCAGAGGCGGTGATGACGTTGAAGATGCGGTCGACGTACTGACGAAGGTTTTCCTGAGGGTGGTGGGGACAGAGAGGTCAGATGGTTCTACAAATTCACACAAACTAACGCACAAACACACACTTACCCTGTTGGTCTCCAAGTTCTCAGACTCTTTGAGCTTCACCGGGTCGATTTCACAGGGTTTGTGTTCTGTGCAGATCTGTTACGAGGTTATTACAGAAATTTAAGAAAACGAGGCACGAGCTGTGAGCAAATTAAAAACATGGGGGGTGGGGGAGTATCTCTCACCTCGTCTATGATCGGTTTCAGCGTGACTTGAAGATAGTGCATCCCAGCCAGCTTCATGGTCTCATCGATGCACTTAGAAGTCAGAGAGTTTCCCCGAAAAATAGTGTTTGGATCCCTGGAAATGAGGTAATTGTTTCACAATAATGTACAAATTAAATCTATAAATAAATGCCAACAGAACAACAAACAACGTGTAAAATAATCCTGTTATAACCGAAGCAAATCTTATTCCAGTGGCAGCATTTTGGCAGCTAAAATATAATTTCTACACGTGCCTTATTTAAGATTAGTTTCCTCCTGACTTATTCATGCAAAATCAAACCTAAATAAAAACAAATAAACACAACTTTCTGATGCTTTAAACCGAGTAAATGTTTCATCCAAGTGACTCACTGTGTTCGGTTGATTTCAGCGTGAGCGATGGCGCTGATGAAAGGCACTATTTTGCCGTAATGAAGGAAGAGACGCACGAGCGGGACGGCAGCTTCCTGCTTCTCTCGACACACCTCCCCCAGAACGTGGGCTGCAGACGCCGACACGGGCTGAACACGGACAGCGGAGGAGAAAACTGTTAATAGATGATGCGGATGAGGAATGGGGTGGGGCAGAAAGGTGACACGTGCACGCACCTGGACATTAGCAGAGTGCAGCAGCAGATCTCTGAGGGGGGTGTAGTGTTCGGAGGGGAAGACGTGGTCCTCGGTGTAAACGATGTTCAGACGCAGAGAGCCAAGGTCTTCTACCTTCACTGACTTGCCTCCATTTTCTCTGGGCTGCAGGAAGTACCTAAAGACGACAGTTATTTGTTTAAACATGAAAACATGTCTTTACATAGAATATACAGCAGGAAGTATCTAAAGAACCATGATATACAGCAGGAAGAACTTAAAGAACCATAATATACAGCAGGAAGTACCCAAAGAACCATAATATACAGCAGGAAGTACTTAAAGAACCATAATATACAGCAGGAAGTACCTAAAGA